CTGGGTCCTATTGTGGGTAGGTGGAGGGGGGAAGGATAGCATTAGGTGATATACCTAATGTAAATGACGAGTTAATGGGTACAGCACACCAACATGGCACATGTATACATATGTAACAAAGCTGCACGTTGTGCACATGTAGCCTAGAACTTAAGTTATAATAATACATAAATAAATAAATAAATAAATAAATAAATAAATTACAGTGAAACATTTAAAAAAGTTATTTTCTTTATAGTAATAAAAACTATTTCTTATATGCAAAAAAAACTATATCTATTTTTATGAAGTTCATTACTGCCTTTTAAACTGTTCAAATATATTTTGGGATACTTTGAAAATTCCTTTCTGAAAGACTTCTGACTTCTGGTTTGATGTGTTAAACTAGAATCCCAGCTCTAGGTGCACTTTTTCACTGCGCTTGAGAAGGACATATTGTTCAACATGATTTAAATTACTTGTGAGTATACACAAAGAAAAAAAAAAAAAACTAATGTTTTCTGTTTAGTGCCTTTATATTCTCTTTCAAACTACTATTAAAAAATAAAAAGTATGACAATGTTTTCCAATACTTAAATTTTTAATTCACAAAGTATCATTTTATTCAATTTAATTGCATATTAGATGTATCTTTTGAGTTACATGAAATAGAAAATGTTTTTTAAACATTCCTATACAGACATTTTGTGCTATTTACACAGTACAGAAAGCCCTCGATGAGAATTTAGGCACATATGCTTACAAAGGAAAACATTATAATTATTAGAAAGTATGACAAAATAAATCCATGATCCTTGATTTAAATAAAACTAAAGATTATGATCATATTTCTTTCTTTAAAGGTACAAAGACAGTTAATAAAATGCTAAAGTTATAAACATTACATGCTATGATTTTGCAGCATTAAATAGTATTACAGTTACATATGTAATAAATCTAACATTGTGCTACATTATTTTCTAAAGTAAATTAAAAATTAAGTAGCAAATTCAGTTTTTATAAACAAAGTTTTTAAATGTAATAAGCCAACACATAAAAATAATAAACATAGTGTTGCAGGTTAATCATGTGATTAAAAGTAATTTTGACAATGTTATTCATGAATTATTTTCACTGACTTCATAAACAAATTTTATTGTAAAAGCACAATCACGCATTCATGATTCACTGAGAATCACACAGACATTATTATGATACATGAATCAGAAGATATGCAAGTCCAAAGAATTCTCCAGTACATTCCATAGGCCAGCAAAAACATGACTTTGACAGCTTCTCTTACAATTTGTGAATGATACTTTTGCATACCAATAAATCCCAACCTGTTAGATGCTTTTGGAGATTAATAGAACTTTAAGCTTACTAAACTGTTTCATTATAGGCAGTTTATATAGTGAGACTCACCTGACATTTACTTAAAATGGCTATTTCCCTATGTTTACTGAAAATGGCTATTTCTCTGAAAGTTGATTTTTGTTTATCATTTACTTGTTGCAGATGCCACTGTTGTGTCTAGGGCAGACGATCCATAACATACTTAAATGCTCTCTGCAGGCTAAATGTGTGACCAGAGAGTATTTTCTGCCTGTTATCCTGGTGAAATCATAAAAAGCACCTTCTTTCACTTTCAGTGGTTGGATGATAAATTTTAAGGCCACCCTCCCAATTTATACGTAAAATTACAAAAAAAAAAAAAAAAAAGAAAAAAGAAAGAAAGAGTGCTAAGGCAAATAAATGTGTCCTGATTCCCCAGCACCACTATAGGGATATAAGAGTGGCAAAGCATGGGTTCCATAAAAATTCCATGGAATTTATGATATAACTGACCAGTTGAAAGGAATAAAATTGATATTAAAAAATACGGATTACAGATAATAGCCTTGTTTTCTAAGAAGCATGTAATTTGCAGGCCAAAGCTGTTCAACATGGCGGTTAATCCTAGGTTCTTCAGGAGGACTCCGTGAATGTGAATCTCAGCTCTAAACACTTACAGACAGAGTGACTTTAGGCAGCTTGTGTAATCTCTCTAAGCTGGAGTTTCCTCATTTATAAAAAAGTAGATATTAACTGTTTTTACAGCATAGGACCATTGTGTGGATTAAATGAACAAAACATGTCAAAGCATTTTGTACAGTGCCCATCATATGCCATGTACTAAATGTCAGTTATTATTATTCTTAGTGAAGCAGAATTCAATTGGTAAACAGGGCATGTAACTGACCTTCTGGATACAGTGCAGATACATTCCTAAGTATCATATGAAAGAAGGATCCATAATTCCATTTCCTTTTTCTCAATACTAGAGTAGAATAAATTCATGGTTAATTAATAAAAATCAAAATAGACATTACATAAATCTGTATAACTTAAGATTCTAAAATAATTGAGTCATACTTCTATTTTTCATTCATCTAATAAGTATTTATTCAGAATGTAGTACAAATAGGTCACTTTGCCTTTAATTAATACTGCGACACATACTTGATTTCCACCTATAGATGAACAATGCTAATGAGGAATAGGTCCCCAATTCCTTGCATAAATTTGTTAAATTAGACAAAACGAAAGAAACGCTTTCAGTGATCAAAACTAAACTATGAAACTGTGAAAATAATTATACGTTTTAGGATTAAATTTTGAATTGGATCTGAGATATTCTGAAGTATACTGGCAGGGGAAAGTGGAACGAGGTTAGGGAGTGAACACAAACATCAACTCTCTACAGTACGATGTAAAGGAATACAATCGCTAAATTTCGGAGGGAACAGATACAGGGTCTTCCTCTGTCTCCCGGGCTGAAGTGCAGTGGCAATCACAGCTCAGTGCAGCCTCAAACTCCTGGGCTCAAGTAATCCTCCCGCCTCAGCTTAGTTGGAACTACAGGCAAGTACCATGTCTGGTTACTTTCTTTTTTATTTTTTGTAGAGACAGGGTCTTCTTACTCTGTTGCCCAGGCTAGTCTCAAGTTCCTATCCTCATGTGATCCATCCTTCTTGGCCTCCCAAAGTTCTGAGATTATAGGTGTGAGCCACCATACCTGGCCTAAAATTCTTTATATTTAAAATCAATGCATTATTAGAATAAAGGATAAAAATAAGGTTTGCATTTGTACTGTCCATGAAACATGAAGAACAAGGGAAATTTAAGTAAGTTGAATGCAACATAATCTGTGTAATAGTTTAGGAATTAGACTCCTTTTGCTCAGAAGACACTAATTCATTATTAAAGAAAATATGACTGGACCTTTATACTATTCTATGTTTTTTTCAAAGTAAAAGAAGCAAATACTGAAGTTATAAAAGCTTGTTTTTCTTTATAATTTTTTTCAATTATGATTTGTCACAATTTAGATTGTTTTTCTAAGAACAAGTAGAAATTTACAAAATTTAATTTTTATTTATACATTCATCCATTCAATACACATTTTAAGACATCTCTATTGCACCCTTGCACTGGTAGTTATAGGACAAAGAAAGAAAATAATCCAAGAGAGAGAACAACAAATGTGTATTTATAACACAGAGTAATAAACACAAATATATGTGGAGTTATTTAAGCATGTAAGATGGTAATTGCTCTACTAGGTATGGGGGTTTCTCTAAGACACAAGATCAGATTAAAGTCTTGAAAGATAACCTGGGGTTAGTCAAGCAGGTGGAAGTGTGAAGAGCACTTTCTGAGCGGAATCTCCATGTGCCAAGTCTAGTTCAAGAGACTGGATAGAGATTAGCAATTTGGAGAATGCAATATTAAGAAATGTCAAAGGTGGCCTACAGAGATTCCAAAGTTGCATAGTGAGGTTTGTGTTTGAGAAAGTGGACTCAGGCAGCCATGCAAAAGAGGGATTAATAGAAAAGGAGACTGAGGTAGGAAAATCAAGGCATTAGCTGTTGCAGCTGGTGAGGGCAGAGTTGGGAAGGCAATGGGGTGGATTCATGAACTATTAAAAAGGTCAAAGGAGCAGGGATTCATGACCTATAAGTGTTAATTAACACAGAAGAAGAAAATATCACAATGAGTTCTAGATCGGGGTCTGAGAAGCTAGATGTTGGGATAATAACAAAAAGACTGCAAAAGGAGATTTACACTTTGGCAAAAAAATGTGTATGAAAGTATCTGAGAATTTTATGCCATCATTAAATCTACTTATTATGCTGAAAATCCTTGTTAGCTGGAAAGACTAAGAGAATTACCCAAGGTGCCTAATATATAAACTTGGAGTAGTTTTCCTACTTCAGCTTTTATGTGGCTTATTATTTGCAGTCAATTTACAGTTGGTCAGTATTAGTTAATCCATTTATCATCACTATAAGATTGGTTAATGGAAGCAGATTAAAATCCAACAGTGGTAATTTTCTAGAAGTCCTCTAGAAAGACTATAAAAAGCCAAACATCAACTTTAATTTTTGAGTACTTTTCCTATTTAAGGTTACTGAAATAAAGTATTTTTGCAAAAAAAAAAAAAAAAAAAAAAAAAAACCAAACAAAAAAAACCCCACAGTATTGCCAATTAAAAATTCAATTTACTATAGAAATATTTCTGATTATTTTACCTTCAGGAAGCAATGCTTCTTGCTTGAAAATTGTATCAGCCTTGAAGGTTAGTGGTGGCAAAATGGAAGAATGCATACTGCAGATGGGCTACACATTTGTTGGGCTACACATTTGTTTCCTTGTGTTCTATATTCCCAGTCACAAATATACTGCTTTGAATTGTATTTAGTCAAACAGCAGATTTGACTGATATTTCCCCGAAATCAAATAGTTTAGATTAATTAAGCTGATTGGTTATCTACCATTATATAGATATCACCCAAATAATGTCAAAATAATAATAAATTAAAATAAATGCATGGACCTGAGACCAGAATAAAATGAAAACCAAGAATAAAATGAAGTTTGCCATTACTGGGATGAATTCAAGTTCAGCAAACTTACATGTGTAGTTAGGATGCTTTACAACAAAATATTGCATTTTGTTATACCAACAAAGAATTGACCAGCTTCCAAGTCACTACCTTATGTGTATTATTCATACTAGTAATAATGGTAAACATTAGTGATGTAATTTTCACTACCAAAATTTTATTACATTTTTCTTAGCCAATATATGGAGTAAATTTTTATAAAGTATTTCTTTTCAAATCATTGAATTACTCCTCCCCAACCTTTAAATCCCCTAGTCACCAAGAATCTTGGGTTCCACACCACCACTCTTCTGTTCTTAAAGTTGTTGCCCTGCGAGCAATGCAACACTGCACCCACCAGTTCCAAGGACACATCATGGTCATTTACCTTATCTAGCATCCTGTGGCATGATTTTAGTATTTCATTCAAGCACTGACTTTTCATGTCGATTCAGATTTTATAAGATTTGATTACAGTGAGTTTGTAAAATATTTCAGTTATATACGCAATAGAAACAACGCATCCTATTTTTGAAGATAAGTCTAAGGCATTCACAGCAATAAAAAAGAAGTACTTTAGTATTTCTGGACTTCAGTCGAGGAAATTATTATTGTAAAGCACTAATAATACAAGTTTAGATATCTAACCAGCCATAGATACCAGGAAGCCAGGTGTTAAATCAAAGACACCAGGAAACCATGAGCCACAAAAGCATCAGTGTAGGAGTGTTTTAGGTATTACAACTATATGGACCTGTACTCTAAAACATAAACAATGGTGTACCTTATGAAGTTCGAAACCCTAATTAAAGACTAATAAGCACTTTAGCCTGGTGGGGGAGAGTAGTGGTTATGAGTGGAATAAAGACTGGAAAATTTGCTTTTGTAGTGACAGAGCTTTAGAGTAAGCACAGTTTTATTTATTTGCCTTAAGCCAATATTTCTGGATAAAAGCTATGTTTTTCTTGTGGAGATTGTAGAATAACTATTATTAGCAAAGGCAGAAAGTATTCAACTTAGTAAAGACATATTTTTTCACTATCGCAGAAAGATGACCTTTATATAAAAACTGTTACATATACTTCCATAGATACTAATAATAAGCATGATTTTGTAAAAAAATAACTTTCTAAGACAAATGGCAAAGGCTTTCTTTTTCATGAATTCTTTGGTTATAAACAGGTTTTGAGTGATTTTTATTCTATGAAGTATTAAGTGATTCCGCCGATATCTGTTCCGTGTGTACTCTGAAGACCAGAATATAATTAATTTTATTCTGGTCTACCATATTTATTCTGATTTACATTGCTTTTATGTAACATAATTACAGAATGAAAATATACCCTTAGATCTGAGATAGCATGTATTATTGATGAAGCTCCTCTCCTGCTGAGCATGCTGCATAAGCTTTTCATCCTTTTAAAACTAAAAACTCAGAGGTTCTTAACAGGAAGGATAAAGAAAGCTGAAATACGAACTCTGTATATCTTCCAATGATTCTCGACATGAGGTTTTGCATTCACTGGCCCAGAGATTCCTGAGTTAAATAAAGTATAATCAAATATAATTAGTATGTTCTGGTTACTTTATAGTAACTTACTATCACTTTAGCAAAGCAAAAAATACTGGAAAGTGAGGGATCCAATCTACTGCCAAAACAAAGATCTCCTACTCTAATGTTGATGAACTAAAAATTTTGAATCTAATCAGCAAAGAAAGTTAGCATATTATATGCATAAGTTTACACCCCCAAATATATGGGAATAGATGAAACTAAAATAACAGAAAATCCAGAAAATTTGAGAGGAAAACAAATATAGCTACATGAAAAACTGTAAAAGAAACTAGCCCATGGTGATAAAATAAAATATGTAGCCAGTGCAAAAGATTTACTTCTAGATTGGTTGCTATGTGTCCTCTGGTGGAAAAGGAAAGTATTTATTTTTGTACAACTATACTGTATATATTCCCCTATAATAGTGTAAACAAGCATATTTGAGCACATCATAAATGACCAGATCTTTTACGGAACTAAAAAAAAAGTAAGTGACTAATAGGTAGCCTATGTATATTGAATTTTACCTTTTATTTGGAATATCATTCAGAAGTAACTTACATTTTTTCTATGCCTGGGGACATTATTTTCTATACCATTGCTATCATCTGATTTCCTGTACAGAAAACAAAAAAGAAAATTACTAAATGTTTGTATTATATAAAATTAAGTAAGTACATCACTGATATGGCTATCAGGTTAAAATGTAAAATGTCAATACAGACAGAATTCTTTCTTCCTAAAAATATTTTACTTACAATGTTGAATTTATTTTTATGGCATTGCTTGAAGAGGAGCCGTAACCACAAATGATAGTGATAAAGGCTTGTTGATTTTATGCACAGGGAGAATTGCTTCTGCCCAAGCATGAGTGAGGACTTGGGCATAAAGACCATAACTTATGTGTGGTTTTGGAAACATGCAAGGTAACAGCCAATTAGGAGGTCAGCCAACATGTGTGATATTGGTGCTATACATTTGTGTGCTTATTACACTGAATTAGAGGTTAAAAATGGTTCTTTTTCCACCCAAAGTTTATCACAGCAGGATTACAAATGTGGGCCTCAGATTCTAAAGATTGACTAAAACTAAATAACCAGTATGCATAATGAATACATTGCCCTTCAAGGTCTTGGGGGCAGGCTTCAATTATCAAATCATAATGCATATCATAAGACAGTGTTACTTATAATTAACAGATAATATTTTCTAAAAAAAAGAAATCCCACCTGAGTGCTTCTTTTTCTTTTGTGTGTACTCTTCAGAAGCAGAATAATGGCCACTAAGAAAACACCTCAGCAACTATTGCAAGAAATGGTTTGAGGGGCACCAAAAAGCTCATTGTTCTGAATGAGTTCAAGTGCCCTTGATATTTGTATGCAATCTAAAGATAGTGAAATAACCTAAAGATGAGAAAAACTAAACACCTTCAGTGATCCTTATGGTGCTGTATAAGATGAGCAAAATGATGTATATTAACCCAATTTTCAGAAAAAAACAATTCATCTTTTACACTACAGATTGAATCCATTTTACATTGTTCAGAAGTGATGGTCCATTCCACACTGTTCTGGCACCATCCTTTCAGAGTGTGTTTTAAACCAGAATGCAACCTCCAAATGTGAGCTCAGAGGAATGGTTAGAGACAGTGGGAGGCAGAGCTCAGAGAATAAAGGAACCCGAGCAAGGTTCTGTCTTCAAATATGTCAATGACTGTCACGTTTGTTACATGATGCTAAGAACAAGAAAAAGGCTAACACATGGAAATAGGAAAGATTAAAAGTTCAAATCAACATAAATGTCGACGCTCTCCAGAAAGAGAAGGGATTCCTTTGGGAGAGATACAATTCCCTTCCAACTATAGGTGTCTATGATTCTAAGACAATGCTGCTTTTCTCTATCTGGTGTTATAGGATTTCTGATGTAGTTATTTTGTGCCCTTAACCTGGAAGCTCATATCATATTGGTTTATTTTACCAGCCTATGTGAACTGAGTGAACATGATTATTTGAATAATGTCTACAAACATCTAAATGACAACTGTCTACTCCACTCCTGCTATTTGTGCCTGTAACACTCTCTCCATAGAGCCCCTGTTGGCTGATAAACTCTAAGTGCCATTTTTGCTCAGGCCTTCCACTTCTCAAGTTTCTTGCAGCAACTTTAATCTAGCCTCGTTTTCCTGGCCCCTAGCCCTTGGCTCTATTGTTCAGGCATTAATCCCAGTGTTAGACACCTCTGTCACTGGTCTCCATACTCAGTTCTCCGGCTTGGAGGAATTCGGAACTCCCATCTTTGCCAAACTAAATTACATCCCTGGTGATTTTATTTCCAGATCTCCTCATGCTTAACTCTAAACAAAGGCTGTGTAAGAGAACCTGTGGCACAATTTGTGTTCTCTGAATAACTAATAGAATTCTAGGCCAGTGATTTTCAACAGACAGAAGATCAAAACCATTCGTAGATGTTTTCAAGAAATACAGATGCCGTAGCCCCAACCCAAGAGATTCTGATCCAGGAGATTCAGCAAGGTCTGAGCAACTGTATCTTTAAAGAGACTCTTAAGTGATCAAAAATAGCCAGGCTTGAGAACCATTGCTTTAAAAAAATAATATTAAATACTTCTGATGGTTACTGTACACCTTCTGTGCATCAAAACTTATGCTACGCATTTACACATATATAATATTCATTCCATCCAACAAGCTCATATGGTGAGTACTATTATTAAATCCATTTTGTAGAGAAGAAAGCTGAAGTACAGAGAAGTGCAGGTAGTAAGTGATGAAGAAGAATTCTCACGGAGGCAGGCAGACTTGGAATGCCACTTTTCACCACCACATGGACATATACAGAAAATACTCCTCTGCCTTTTTTCCCCCAACTGCAAACATTTCATTCAATTTTATATTTCCCTATATTTTACTCAAGTGAAAATTAATCTGTAAAAAATAATACTTACAGCTGTTCAGTCTGCTCAAATTCTTTCCCCTCATCTGTGTAACAAAAGAAGAATTTGACTATGAAGTTGGTTTGTCATTTTTATGGAACATATATGCTCAATTAAACCTCCTTCCTATGTAAGAAAGTACTATGCTGTTTCTCCTGTTTGGAATGAAGGAGAGACATGCTACCTTAGACACCTACACCTCCTTCATCTGCACTACAGACCTTATCTGCATTTCTGATCAAACATAGTTTAGTGGCTTGGTATTTTCAAAAACATGACTGCTTAGTTTGTCATTACTTAAATCATTAAAATTTAGTGCAAAATCAGGAAAGAAAACAGGATGTAAGGTCAATTTTCTCGAGGATTATTGCTTTATCAACCCGTAACCCATCAGGCACAGGCTGCAAAAATAGGAAATGACAGGACAGTCTCTCTTCAATGAGAACTCTGGAATGGTTAATAAAATATTTTTTTTAAATGATAATCTAAGTGAAAGAAAAACTGTTTCTTTGAGACTTTTTATATTAAGCTATCATAGATTTTTCTAATAATCCAGGGCCAGAATACATATCACCTAACTGGTACTTAGGTACCAGTAGCACCAAAAAAAGGCGGGGGGGTTAGGGGTGAGGTGGGGAAGAGAAAGAAAAAAGGCATTTTTATTTTCAGGAATTGAAACAGGAAGACCATTGATACATGCTTCTACCTCACTGTCACCATTGTTGTAAACCTAAATAGTGCTCCAAATAAGAAAATGAAGATTTTCCCCAAAAATCCTAAAGTCATTGCAATGTATCAAATCATAATCCATATAAGTAAATGATACTTATAATTAACTGATAATACTTTCTAAAAAAAACAAAAAACAAAAAGTAATCCCACCTGAGTGCTTCTTTTTCTTTTGTGTGTACTTTTCACAAAGCAGAATGGCGGCCACTAAAAGAACCACCTCAGTTACTATTGCAAGAAATGGTTTGAGGGGCACCAAATAGCTCAGCACCACAAGCTCAATGTGTTCTTCACTCTCGCCTACTTGGAATAGTGCATGGCACCAGTAAGATCCCCCATCTTCCTCCAAAAGTTGTGTTATCTTCAGCTTTGTTTCATTAGCATATGTTCCATTGATCACATATTTATTCATTTGAACACCAACAGGAACCTAATATAAGGAGACATTAAAATCCATTCCTATCATAGTACATAAAAGATACATGATGTAGTTCCTGAGTGAAAGCTATAAGATAATGCCAACAATATTGCTTACTAGAGAAAAGCATATTAAAATGTATGAGAGGTTATCTATAACAGACTTAAGTCTTATCAGAGTTTGATCTCCCAGGGAACAAACAAAGAAAAAACATGTATACATTGCTATAAGGATTTAGCAGTGAATGTTTAAAACTACAAAGAAGCAAGTAGGTCATCATGGCTAAATATTATAGAAGAACTAAAAACAGAAAAATCCCAAACATCTGAGTCTCACATTCCTATCCTTGCCTAGTGCTTTAGTCAAAGTACTTTTTCCTTCACAAGCACAGGCACATATTTAAACAACTACCACCCTGAAAGCTACTATTTCTGATAATTCCTATAAAGGAAAATTGCTCACTCCGACAATGTGATTTCCCCAGGCTAGAAATGAAGATGAAACTTTCAGGCCTTTGGAGGTGATATAGATAGAATGGAGGGGACCCCCTGTGAGCCTGGGATCCAAAGTGAACTGCACACCTTCTGCCTTTTCATATCCGAATTTCTTTCTCTCTCAGGTAAGCTGGCTTCTAAGAGTTGCTGGGTTTTCCACAGCCTCACAAGGTGACATACTAAGCTATTTCGGGCTGTTTTATTTAATCTATTTAAATTAAATTTTATTCCCAAGCCATTTGATGCTTTCCCTGCTCCATCACTCAACCGCACTGTTCAATAAGTGGTAATCTGCATACAAATATTCTCAGAGCTTATCAAAGGAAGAACTATCTGTGAATATATTATTTGTGCAAAAAAAATTACAGCAACCTGGCACCATGTGCACAGCACTGCCTGGGATGTTTGGTATAGATTGGTCAGAGCTAATCAATCAAAATACCATATTTTTAATAAGTACCCAGCTGATTCTGACGCACATGGTTGGTCTACATTTTGAAAAGGCATTTGTGCTCAAGTTTTGACCTGCCCCCTGTTCCCCACAATTTTCTCACACCCTAATATGACTCATGCTTAGAGTCAAATTAAGAGGATAATGACTAGTATACCAATGGACGGAAGCACCAGTACGTCTAAAATGACATTTTCAACATCGGATATAATTAGATGAAGGGTAATGTTTTTCACGTATTGTCGTACCACGTACAGATCAATAAATAAAGCTGTGTATTTCAAATACCACAGTTGACATTTGTTTTTACAAAATTACACTTTTTAAAAAAAATTACATATACACAATGATTGCCTTTCCTCATCATCCATCAGAAGACAAGCAGGAGTAGGAATGGCTTTAGTCTGCATCTACAGGATTTTGTTGGAGCTATTTCATTGAAAAACTGAACCTGTTAGCACAGAATAAGTCACACTCCCTTCTGAGTCATTTATCTGTCATCCTTCAATAGTCTATAATAACACCAATTTTGTCTAAGAAAGAATTTAATATTTCATTGTAACATCTACACTGTCTCACATGTTCCTTCTACAATTATAGCTTGCCTTTAACGGGACTTTAAATTGTAATGTTTATTAGTGCCAGGGCAAAGGAAGGGTGTCTCCTAAAGGACAATGTCCTACATTTTCCTGCCATTAGAGGCTATTTGGGGAGAAGAAAGGAAACCAGAAATTATTTACAAAATACTCATGTTTTTCTTAATATCAGCTCTCTGAATAGTGATTTCTCTTAGTAAAAAAGGAATTAAAAGTATTTGGCTTCTCTCAGGTATCTTGAAAAGGCCAATGACAATTACTGATAGAACTCAAGATGTAATATTAAGTTACAAAGTTTTCATTATTTTCTCAAATAGTGCCATTATTTTCCATTCTATCACAGATGTTTCAGGAGACAGAATCCCAAAAAGGTGGCTAGCGTTTTTTCTAGTTACTTTCACGGAATGATTTTTAAAAAGAATCTTTTCTAATGGAGTTATTTCTAAACTAGGCAACTATACACAAAATGTAATTTCTTTTCAAAGAATGTAATTAAATTGTTAAACCTAAAAAACAAAGTACCAGCTAATGAAACGTTAAGAGTATCTTCATATGTATAATGTAAACATGCCAAAAACCATCAAATGAAAACTCCGTTTGTCACTGCTCTTTCTTTATGAACATAAGCTAAAGAACAATATAACAAAAGTATAAATCATCTTAGGAATGTTGAGTCTGTTACAATCTTGTTATTAAATAAATGTTTTTTGTTTTTGTTGTTTTCTTCAAATCAAGGAACTATCTTACCTTTATACTCCCATTAGTACTGTACCAGGTCCAATTTAAAGGAAAACAATTTTGACATTTACATGTCAAGACAGTAGAATCCCCTACGTAAGAGATCAATGGCTTGTTTTTCCCATGAAGTTCAGGAACTGAGAATAAAATAGGGAAATGTATGTTACTGAAAGAGTTTAGGTAAAGGAAATGCATTAAATGTGCAGATACTGTCACCTTTCATTTTTTCATTACATTATTTTACATACTTCCAGTTATATATAAATGAAACTAATTTATACTAGTTAGGGTGTAGTTAGCAGTAATAATAATAGTAGACAGATTCAATATAATTGTCTCCAATGTATAGAAATGGAAGGTCTTCTATTACTGAGCCTAACAACAAAAGTATTGTTCCTTTTTGGATAAGTTACATGTTTTGGATAAAAAAAGAGGCTTCACATTTTCAAATCCCTGTTCTTTCTTCCTACTTACTAAGCTACCTTAGAGTAATTATTTTCTTCAAAGTTTTAACCTCAGGTAGCCTTTGAGTGAGAAGATAAAATTTCCAGGATAGGAAATCTTTAGTTGATACTAATTTATTAAAAGCCAGCAAAGAGTTAGAGAAGGTGGGAACAAGGAACAAAGGAAAATTGACAAAAAGAGAACAGCGTAAAACAGAAAATATGATTTAAAAATGATTTCATGTGATTTTGTAAAAAATATATATACACTAATATCCATTATGATAAATTTCCTAGTCAAGGAAGTTTGAAGTAGATTCCATTAGAAACAGAATACAAATGAGCACTGAATTTAGAAAAAAAATAAGTTTTAAGGATGTAAATAACTTGGTAAAGAATAGTAAAACGTAAGAGCATAAACAGTACAATGAAAAGCCTACATGGTGCAATCAGTTCCTTCTGATTGACCTAGAAGGATGCATTATAGAAAGTACACTTACATTGAAGATATAGACTCATCAACTAAGATTATTTTAATTTTTTTCTTTTACTTCTTCAAATTTTAGCAGGTTTTTGCTTTTTTGGGTTTTGTATGTCTGTGTGTGTGCCATATGCGTGTGTCTGTGTGTTTACTTTTTTCATTTATATGTTTAGTTTGCCAGTAGGGAAAGAATGGATGAAATCATGTCAACTAAAGACCTGCAGATAAGCAGAGATTGGAGCTTTGCTAAAATAGGGATTCTTTGCTGAAGTCACAAGGTTCCCTATAACCTGAAAGGAAGAGCAGCCACACTTCTTGACTTCCACGTGAAGAGGCACAAGATGCATTAGTGCATTACAAGGGCAACGACCTCTACGGCCCTGTTAGGCTCACCTTAAAACAAATGCTGCTTTGGAGTGCAGGCTTTGTATTAGACACTAAAGAGTTAAGGACACAGTTTCCTCTTTCTCAGGTTGTTTATCTCCCAGATATCCTATTTCTCAATCTCCACGTTTCTTTCTGGCAATTGAGTCATGCTTTAGCAGGAAAATATGTGTTGAAATAGGTTCAAAATACCAAAATTTACCCACAGGCTAAAAATAAAATGTGGAAGAAAGGTAATTCTTGGGGAAAAAATTGGCAGAATATACACTGTTTTTCAGTATTCCTCGAAGAGCCACCTGCTTGGGAAGCATACTGGAATCTGCAAGGGGCTTTTCAAGAAAGTTGAGTATTCTATGAGATTTGATGAGGAACATATGATTATGTTATTAAACCATCCCAACTAAATATTAAGATCAGGCTGTAAATTGCAGAAACTGACAATGACTGAGTGACAACATGGAAAAGCTGAAACCAAAATTCTGTTTTCTTGCCATCTCTTCAGTTTTCTTGATTAACCCCTAGACTAATGACTAAAATACCATAAACCATGCTTTTGTTCTGCTATATATGGCTAATAACAGCAGTGTGGATTTAAATTACAAAATGCACTATGTTCAGGGAACATGACATTTGTTTGGACTATTCTGGGATTTGGGGCCATAGCTTATGTTTGGAAATATTTATTAATATAAGGACAGTGAGACAGTATTCAAATGTGCCCTGTTGACCTTTTAAGAGTTTGCATAAAGTAGGATGCATAAGAGTGCTGGGGTTGGAATAAACCAGGTTTGAAGGTGGTGAAATTGCTGATTCAGGCTAGTGTCTAGGAAGACAGGGTTTGGATATACCCAGTGAAAGTAACAGCTCTCTGGAGTTGTAAAATTGGAAACTATATTCGTATATTCATGAACTAGAACAAACTGGCCTAAATGTCATATTGGTTCAAAGACTTTTAGGTATCACCAAATTAGGAAAAAAGATTACTTCATGTGGTAAAAAAATGCTAACTATACTTCAACATTGGGATCCAGAGCTGAAGTCCCAGCTGATTCTATTATGCTACCTTTTCATACTTTGAATGTTTAGATACTTCCAGGGAAAGACATATAGTTGAGCTATGACAGGCTTCACTGCATTTGGTACTATCAAAATCTCATCATGACTTCCAAAAAGTTCTTGTTCTTTACCAATTATATTTCTGCATACTTTCTACTAAGAGACTGTAACACTGATAAATATTATGGAAGCTTTCAACCACCACTCAGAATATTTGACCCACTACTGAGAAACACTATAGACCATCACTCATCTTTCTCTTTCTTGGGTGGCAAGTAATCAGCAACATATTAGCAGTCACAAACTCCCAGTGTACACTTTTGCTGTCTCCTCTGTCCTGGCATCAACAGTGAAACACAAAGTCAGCAGGTTTTTGTGTACTGAGCTAATCATAATCTTGAGGGACGTTTACAACCTTGTAGTAGTAAATCAACCAGCACCCATAAAGACAGCAGCAGGGTCTTTGCTGATGAATTGTTCTGAAGACTCAGGCTCATGCACTATAGGTGGCTCATGTAGTCAATGGCAGAAAAATTTATCTTTGGCTCAATTTAAAATAGAGAATAAAACAGGCTTTTCGTCTACATGCAGTTGTAAGGCTTCTAAGAAAAGATAATTATTCTTCTTAGGAAAAAACATTAAGTAAACCATATGGAGAAATAATAGGACATTTATAAAAATATATACCATTTTATAAGCCTTTCAGACCTATTAAATAACTATAATATGAATAATGTACAGATGTCTTTAAATACTACTCAAGTAAAATTATTTCTCTAAGCAATATTCAATTTAGATGAATTATAGAGAATTTTTATTTTACCAAGGAAGATTTGAAAGGACCCAATTTATTAATTTTATAAATATCTTCAAGATATAATACATACTTAAAAGTTACATTAATGTTAAATGGGCATTAAAATAAATTAGCTAACCTAAACTGCTTCAAGACAACTAGAAAACGAAAAAAAGTAAATATTCAGTGATTCTTTGCTTTCCTTAAAGCCTTGATTTAAAACCTAGGCCTTGGGTCAACGCTGCTGACACCAGCCAAAATCAGCTTAGTTATGTCAAAACAGTTGGAGGATCAAGAGACCTTCCGTGTGAATACTTGCAATTCAACGTATTGGTATGTTGGAAAGTAAAATGCTTGTTAATCTTCATATTAGACACAAGAATGATCAATTCCACATAATAATTTAAGTAACCATCAAAACTAATGAGAAAAATGTGTTATCTTCAATAATGAAAGCAGGTATGACTAGTATATATTTCCAGAGCACAATGTCTTAGAAAAAAAAAAGGAAAACAGTATTTAAAGGTGAGTATCTTGGGAGCACGTTAAGTCACAAGATTCTGTGAGCATTTCCTCAGAATCTGTAAGCCTTCTTTACATATTTATTAAAAACTCAATAAAACATGTTCACTGAAATTTTGTGTGTTCAACATTATTTTAGCTCATTGGGAAGAAAAAGAAAGAAAGCAAAAAGAAAGAGAAAGGGAGGAAAAAAGGAAGGAAGGAGGAAGGAAGGGAGGGAAGGAAATGAACTCAAAAGGTGGGAGGGAAGAAAGGACAGAAAAAGACAGGGAAAGGAAAAGAGAGATAAGGAAAGAGGAGGGGAAGGGAAGATGGGGCAGAGGAGGGAAAAATGAAACACAGAAGGAAAAGGAAACTGAAAGGAAATGTATATGGTGTTATCTAGTCCTTCACTAAGTTAAAGGCAAATGGAGGGGAAAAAGTTAAGAAAGAATATACATGACTAAAATAATCAAAGAATGACACTAGTTTCTGCTTTTGGAGAGATCAAGATATATAAATACAATAATTTATTATATTCACCACATTGGAACAATTACAAAGCTATAAAATTAAAATGACTCTGTGAGTGGAGAAGGGACACAGTGAGAGACACAGGAATGAACCACTAGATCACGACAATGGTGAAGCATGCTATTCTGCTATTGATGGAGCCTTCAGAATAGCATCCACATTCTGTCACAGCAGACAGTCGGGCTTTAGGAGTTTTAGGAAAAGTTACAACAATTTTCATGTTTCCTGGGAAATTAGTGCAAAGCAGAGTCCAAGGTAGTTAATATGGCAACAGATTGCATTTCCCAAATACCAGCACGATACTATGGTTCATTAATCACCACAAAATACTGGGTTTTTCATAATGATAATTATATAACTCAAACAATCAGTCTTTATTATGAGATTGAGACCTTCTTGAGTTTTGGTTTAATAATGGTAACAGTAAAATATTTTAATTTGTTTGTTTCCAAGGAAGAGAAATGTGTATGATATTCTGGGGCTTGTATATATCTTTAAACATCCTTACTTGCTGAGATAAAAAGTAGGCAACCCTTTATGCAACTCCATATTATTTTTCAAGTTTTATGGATCCTAAAATCCCATGTCAAGGGCACCCAAGATGGCCAAATAGGAACAGCTCCCGCCTCCAGCTCCCATTGTGAGCAACACAGAAGATGGGTGATTTCTGCATTTTCAACTGAGGTACTGGGTTCATCTCACTGGGGCATGTCCAACAGTCGGTGCTGATTAGTGGATGCAGCCCAACCAGGAAGAGCTGAAGCAGAGCGAGGAATTGCCTCACCTGGGAAGTGCAAGGGGGAAGGAAATTCCTTTTCCTAGCCAAGGGAAACTGAGACACACAACACCTGGAAAATCAGGTAACTCCCACCCTACTACTGTGCTTTACCAGGGGTCTTAGCAAACGGCACACCAGGAGATTATAATCCACACCTGGCCCGG